ATATATATATATATATATATATATATATATGGTTCAGTCTGGCAATTTTAACTCAATTTAATTCCTGATCTTGAAAAAAACCTAGTATAATACAAAATCTCTGCCTTGTGTAGGCTTTATTCACCTTTATCATATGACTCTTTTATTTTTAAAATAACTTTCTATGAAATTATAAAAATAGTACATTGAAATCCCAAGTATTACAACTGTATTTCTATATCTACTCCTTTCTGTGAAAGTGACCCCTGCTAATACTTTAGTTTGTATTTTTAAACTTATGTAGATTATGTGATATTATCATTTGACAACTTGGTTTATTTTCTTATTAATACATTGTGTCATTTTTATGTTAGTACTTGTAGGTTTGCTTGGTGTTTTTATTTTCTTTTATTTTTTGAGACAGTGATGTTTCGCTCTTGTTGCCCAGGCTGGACTGGAGTGCAATGGTGCAATCTTGGCTCACTGCAACCTCTGCCTTCCAGGTTCAGGGAATTCTCCTGCCTCAGCCTCCTGAGTAGCTGGGACTACGGGCACATGTCGCAATGCCTGGCTAATTTTTTGTAGTTTTAGTAGAGATGAGGTTTCACCGCGTTAGCCAGGATGATCTCAGTCTCCTGACCTCATGATCTGCCTGCCTGGACCTCCTAAAGTGCTGGGATTACAGGCGTGAGCCACGGCGCCTGGCCTCTTCTTTTCTTTTTTTTTTTCTTCTTTTTTTCTTTTTTTTGAGATGGAGTCTTGTTCTGTCACCCAGATTAGAGTGCTGTAGTGCAACCTCACCTCACTGCAACCTCTGCCTCCCAGGTTCAAGCGATTCTCCTGCCTCAGCCTCCCTCTCGAGTAGCTGGGATTATAGGTGCCCACCACTGTGCCTGGCTAATTTTTGTATTTTTAGTAGAGACAGGGTTTCACCATCTTGGCCAGGCTGGTCTTGAACCCCTGATGTGATCCACCTGCCTTGGCCTCCCAAAGTCCTGGGATTACAGGTGTGAGCCACCGTGCCTGGCCTTTATTTTCAAAATTATTGAGATGCATGAAAATTCCAGCTCATCTGATTTTTAGGGGGCAGTTTTTTATTGTGGGAAAATATACATAACATAAAATTTACCGTGTTAACTTTTTTTGCATTGTTTTGAGACAGGGTCTCACTCTTGTCTCCCAGGCTGGAGTGCAGTGGTGAGATCACAGCTCACTGCAGCCTCGACATCCTGGGCTCAGGTGATCTTCCAGCCTCAGCCTCCCAAGTAGCTGGGACTACAGGCATGCACCACCATGCTTGGCTAATTCATTTGTATTTTTTGTAGAGACAGGATTTCCCCATATTGCCCAGGCTGATCTTGAATTTCTGGGCTCAAGTGACCCACTTACCTTGGCCTCCCAAAATGCTGGGATCACAGACGTGAGCCACTGTGTCCCAGCACTGTCATCCTATTTTTAAGGCATCCAATTCAATAGCATAACGTGCATTCACAATGTTGTGAAACTAGGACCACTATTTCCAGAATGTTTTCATCATCCTAAACAGGAGCTCCATACCCATTAAACAATAACATACCAATTAAACAATATTAAATAAATTTCAGGCTGGGTGTAGTGGCTCACGCCTGTAATTGCTTCACTTTGGGAGGCCAAGGCAGGTGGATTGCTTGAGGTCAGGAGTTTGAGATCAGCCTGGCCAATAGGGCGAAACCCTGTCTCTACTAAAAATACAAAAATTAGCTGGGTGTGGTGGTGGGTGCCTGTAGTCTCAGCTACTCAAGAGGCTGAGGCAGGAGAATTGCTTGAACCGGGAAGATGGAGGTTGCAGCGAGCTGAGATCACGCCACTGCACTCCAGCCCAGGTGACAGAGTGAGACTCTGTTATCTCAAAAATAATAATAAAATACAATAAATATAAATTGCCTTTTGTAGTCAGTTAATAGAAAGAGATCAAATGTAGGGAGAGAAACTTGGCAAGGAAGGATATAGTCATGTAAAGGAAGAGACATTCAGAGGTAAAGAGAAAAATATATACATTCAAAAATCCAGTATATTCTAATAATATAACATTATTGCATTGAAAGAGAATAATTTAGTTAAAAATATGACCATGATTATTTAGAAATGTTAGAATGGTAGGCATTATGATTGGTTTGGTTTTTTCCTTTTCCTTTTTTTTCAGACTCTCTGTAATGTGGCTATATTAATTATATAATAAAATAAACATTAGAAAGTAAAATATGAGTAGGCAGACTTAATGACTTAGGTATGTAACAACAACATGCTTAAAATGTGTTCAAACTTTTGCTTAAGTCTGTTGTCATTGCTAAAACGCATGCAAATTCTTAAATGTGTAGCTGTCATTATTAAAACTTTTACTTCACTGTAACAGTTACTATGATTTAAATAAAATAAGAATAATTTTTGTTTTTGTTTTTCTTAGCATCATTACTCCATTAACAATGGATATGTATGCCTGGACTCAAGAACAAGCTGTCTTATATGATGGCATAATACTTGCTGCTCTTGGAGTTGAGGCAGTTGTTATTCTCTTAGGAGTTAAATTACTTTCCAGAAAGTAAGTTTAGTGGTTTTGTTTTTGTTTTATGTCTGTTTTTTAAAAATAAAACAAAAAACAGAGCTAATAATGCAAATGGATGTACTGGAAAAGTAATTGAAAGCTTTTTTTGCACACAAATTTAAAATTGATTAAGAGATTATAATATTTCTGTACAGCATTTCTTTGGCAAAACAAAATTTCTTACGAAGTATATAATTGACTCTTAATTTATCTTTTGTATATTATGTTTTCCTGAAAGTGTATTTCACAAACCATTGTTCTACTGTATTGTAATATACATTGTGCAACAAAAAAGATTCAGTGGTTAAGTTTGGAAAATGTAGATGCCAAACTTATTTATTCTAGAACTTCTATCCACAGTGTATATATTTTATATCATCATCATGGCAAATAAAATCTGTGACATTTCCCAGACCACACACACTTTTTTTTTTTAGACAAGGTTTCTCTTTGTTGCCCAGGCTGAAATGCAGTGGTGCAATCATGGCTCAGTGTAGCCTTGACCTACTGGGCTCAAGTGATCCTCTCATCTCAGCCTCCTGAATAGCTAGAACTACAGGCAGGCACCACTATACCTGGCTAATTTCTTTTATTTTTTATAAAGACAATATCTCACTATGTTGCCCAGGCTAGTCTCGAATTCCTGGGCTCAAGCAATCCTCCTGCCTCAGTCTCCCAAAGTACTGGGATTGCAGGCATAAGCCACTGTGCCCAGCGTAAGAGTGTTTTTTAATCGATATATGGTAGATATACATATGTTTGGGGTATATGTGATAATTTGATACATTCATATAAAGATCAAATCAAGATAACTGGAATACCATCACTTTAAATATTTACCTTTATGCTAGGAACATTTGAATTACTCTTTTCTAGCTTTTGACATGTACACTAGATTATTGCTAACTGTAGGGACTCTACTGATCTATTAAAAACTAGGTCTTATTTCTTCTAACTATATATTTGTACCCATTAATCAACCTTTCATTATTGCTTTTCTCCCCACTATTATTCCTGGCCTCTGGTAACTACCAATCTATTCTCTCTTTTCTTTCTTCTTTTTTTCCTTTTTGTAAAAGGTGGTGTCTCACTCTGTTGCCCAGGATGGAGTGGAGTGGTGTGATCATATCTCATGGCAGCCTCGAACTCCTGGGCTCAAGTGATTCTCGTGTCTCATCCTCCTGAGTAGCTAGGACTACAGGCATGTGCCATAATGCCTGGCTAATTTTTTTTTAAACTGTTTGTAGAGACAAGGTCTTCCTATGTTGCCTGGGCTCACCAGTCTACTCTCTATCTGCATATTCACTTTTTTGTCTTTTTTTTTTTTTGTGAGATGGAACTGTGTTCTTGTTGCCCAGGGTGGAGTGCAATGGCGTGATATCAGCTCACCTCAACCTCTGCCTCCAGGGCTCAACCCATTCTCCTGCCTCAGTTTCCTGAGTAGCTGGGATTACAGGTGTGCACCACCACACAAAGCTGATTTTTATATTTTTAGTAGAGAGAGCATTTCACCACGTTGGCCAGGATGGCCTCTATCTCCTGACCTCGTAATCCACCCACCTCAGCCTCCTAAAATGCTGGGATTACAGGCGTGAGCCACCATACCTGGCCTTTATTAAAGTTCTAGGAGACATGTACATAATGTGTAGGCTTGTTACATAGGTATACATGTGCCATGGTGCTTTGCTGCACCCATCAACCCATTGTCTACATTAGGTATTTCTCCTAATGCTGTCCCTCCCCTAGCCCCCCGCCCCCTGACAGGCCCCATTGTGTGATGTTCCCCTCCCTGTGTCCATGTGTTCTTATTGTTCAACTCCCACTGATGAGTGAGAACATGCAGTGTTTGGTTTTCTGTTCCTGTGTTAGTTTGCTAAAAATGATGGTTTCCAGCTTCATCCATGTCCCTGCAAAGGACATGAACTAATCCTTTTTTATGACTGCATTGTATTCCATGGTGTTTATGTGCCAAATTTTCTTTATCCAGTCTATCATTGATGGGCGTTTGGGTTGGTTCCAAGTCTTTGCTATTGTGAATAGTACTGCAATAAACATATGTGTACATGTGTCTTTATAGTAGAATGATTTATAATCCTTTGGGTATATACTCAGTAATGGGATTGCTTGGTCAAATGGTATTTCTGGTTGTAGATCCTTGAGGAATTGCCACTCTGTCTTCTGCAATGGTGGAACTAATTTACACTCCCACCAACAATGTAAAAGCGTTCTTATTTCTCCACATCCTCTCCAGCATCTGTTGTTTCCTGATTTTTTAATGGTTGCCATTCTAATTGGCATGAGATGGTATCTCATTGTGGTTTTGATTTCCATTTCTCTAATGACCAGGGATGATGAGCTTTTTTTCATATGTTTATTGGCTGCAAAATGTCTTCTTTTGAGAAGTGTCTGTTCATATCCTTTGCCCACTTTTTGATGGGTTGTTTTTTTCTTGTAAATTTGTTTAAGTTCCTTGTAGATTCTGGATATTAGCCCTTTGTCAGATGGATAGATTGCAAAAATTTTCTCGCATTCTGTAAGTTGCCTGTTCACTCTGATGATAGTTTCTTTTGCTGTGCAGAAGTTCTTTAGTTTAGATTCCATTTGTCTATTTTGGCTTTTGTTGCCTTTGCTTTTGGTGTTTTTGTCATGAAGTCTTAGCCCATGCCTATGTCCTGAATGGTATTTCCTAGGTTTTCTTCTAGGGCTTTTGTGGTTTTAGGTCTTAGGTTTGTCTTTAATCCACCTTGAGTTAATTTTGTATAAGGTGTAAGGAAGGGGTCCAGTTTCAATTTTATGCATATGGCTAGCCAGTTTTCCCAACAGCATTTATTAAATAGGGAACCCTTTTCCCCATTGTTTGTTTTTGTCAGGTTTGTCAAAGATCAGATGGTTATAGATGTGTGGTGTTATTTCTGAGGTCTCTGTTCTGTTACATTGGTCTATATATCTGTTTTGGTACCAGTACCGTGCTGTTTTTGTTACTGTAGTCTTATAGTATGGTTTGACATCAGGTAGTGTGATGCCTCCAGCTTTGTTTTTTGGCTTAGGATTGACTTGGTTATATGGACTCTGGCTCTTTTTTTGGTTTCATATGACATTTAAATTAGTTTTTTCTAATTCTGTGAAGAAAGTCAGTGGTAGCTTGATGGGAATAGCATTGAATCTTTAAATTACTTTGTGCAGTAGGGCCATTTTCATGATACTGATTCTTCCTATTCATGAACATGGAATGTTTTTTCATTTGTTTGTTTCCTCTCTTATTTCCTTGATCAGTGGTTTGTAGTTCTCCTTGAAGAGGTCCTTCATATTCCTTGTAAGTTGTATTCCTGGGTATTTTATTCTCTTTGTAGCAATTGCGAATGGGTGTTCACTCATGATTTGGCGCTCTATTATTGGTGTATAGGAATGCTTGTGACTTTTACACATTGATTTTGTATCCTGAGACTTTGCTGAAGTTTCTTATTAGCTTAAGGAGATTTTGGGCACCACTGATCCCACAGAAATACAAACTACCATCAGAGAATACTATAAACACCTCTATGTAAATAAACTAGGAAATCTAGAAGAAATGGATACATTCCTGGGCATATACACCCTCCCAAGACTAAAGTAGGAAGAAGTTGAATTCCTGAATAGACCAATAACAAGTTCTGAAATTGAGGCAGGAATTAATAGCCCACCAACCAAAAAAAGTCCTGGACCAGACGAATCCACATCTGAATTCTACTAGAGGTACAAAGAGGAGCTGGTACCATTTTTTCTGAAACTGTTCCAAACAATAGAAAAAGAGGGAATCCTTCTTACCTCATTTTATGAGGCCATCCATCATCCTAATACCAAAACCTGGCAGAGACACAACTGAAAAAGAAAATTTCAGGCCAATATCCCTGATGAACATTGAAGTGAAAATCCTTAGTAAAATACTGGCAAACTGAATCCAGTAACACATTATAAAGGTTATCCACCACGATAAAGTTGGCTTCAACACTGAGATGCAAGGCTGCTTCAACATATGCAAATCAATAAACGTAATCCATCACATAAACAGAACCAATGAAAAAAACCACATGATTATCTCAATAGATGCAGGAAAGGCCCTTGATAAAATTTAACACCCAGTCATGCTAAAAACTCTTTTTTTTTTTCTTTTTGCCAACCTTGCAGGATAAAGTCTTTGAATGCTTCATGCTAAAAACTCTTAATAAACTTGGTATTGATGGAATATATCTCGAAATAATAAGAGCTGTTTATGACAGACCCACAGCCAATATCATACTGAATGGGCAAAAGCTGGAAGCATTCCCTTTGAATTCCAGCACAAGGCAAGAACGCCATCTCTTACCACTCCTATTCAACACAGTATTGGAAGTTCTGGCCAGGGCACTCAGGCAATAGAAACAAAGAGTATCCAAATAGGAAGAGAGGAAGTCAAAATGTCTCTGTTTGCAGATGACATGATTGCTATATTTCTAAAAAATTAGTTCTTGGATCTAGAAGCTTGATGAAATTTGGGTTCAATTTTTTGGCAAGAATACTTTATAGGTGGAGATATGTGCTTATATCAGAAGAAATATAATATTTATCTTTAATATGTAAGTAGCCATTGACTGTCTCCTAGATATGTTCATTTATTAATAGATCATTGCACAATTCTGGTATTTTAATTCTATGGTTCCTTTATTTATTTGCTAGAATACTTTTCATAGAGACTGTTTTGCTCACCAACTATTTAGTTAACCTGAGCTACATTTGTATAGGAAAGGCAAGATAAAGCCTTGATTATTTCCTTTTAGTAACTGGTTTTTAAAACTAATGAGTTGTTTCCCTAACATCCTCCAAAAGTGACCAAAGAGTACTTTATTTTAATATACTATGAATTCACAGATTTTAACAACTTTTTTTTTTAGAGACAGGGTCTTGCTCTGTCACCCAGTCTGGAGTGCATTGGTGCCATTACAGCTCACTGCAGCCTTGACCTCCTGGCTCAAGTAATCCCCCTGCCTGTTACCTTCTGAGTAGCTGGGACTACAGGCACTTAGTAGTCCCAATTACTACTCCTGGCTAATTTTTTTTATGTTTTGTAGAGATGGGGTCTTGCTATGTTGCCCAGGCTGTTCTTGAACTCCTGGCATCAAGCAGTCCTCCCCCTTTGGCCTCCCAAAGTGCTGAGATTATAGCCATGAACCACTGTACCAGGCCACAGATGATAATACTTTCATGTGTTTCAATCCATTGCCATTATTACTCTGTTTTGGTATTCATATAGTCACATTTTGGCCAGCTTCTTCAAATTGGCTGAGCCAAAAACACTCATGACTGGTAGTCACGGGTAACATCTGTGCTTTTTGCTGTGAAAGATCTTAGGCTCATCTTCTTCTCCCCCCCCCCCCATTTATTTTATTGCATTTTAGGTTTTGGGTACATGTGAATAACCTGCAAAATTGTTGCATAGGTACACACGTGGCAGTGTGATTTGCTGCCTTCCTCCCCATCACCTACATCTGGCATTTCTCCCCTTGCTATCTCTCCCCAGCTCCCCACCTGTACCAGACCTAAGTCAGCCGTTTTTCAGAGGAGTCCTGGTTATTTTTAGTGGAAATTTATATTTAGCATTCTTTTTAATGGATATATCACTAAAAGTACAAGGTATTATTTTCAGTTTTTAAAGTTATGAAAGTAATGAAGCTATGTTATAATGTTTTATTTTTAAATTACAGAGTTTCTGTTCTTTAACAGGATTGGCGAGCGTGCTATTCTACTGGGAGGACTCATCGTTGTATGGGTTGGCTTCTTTATCTTGTTACCTTGGGGAAATCAGTTTCCCAAAATACAGTGGGAAGGTATAGCTATACATAATTTTATAGTGTTAGCCTCTGTTATTTATCAAAAATCAACAAGTAATGCACTGCACTGATTTTCTTTTTTCAGATTTGCATAATAATTCAATCCCTAATACCACATTTGGGGAAATTATTATTGGTCTTTGGAAGTCTTCAATGGAAGATCACAATGAAAGACCAACTGGTTGCTCGATTGAACAAGCCTGGTGCCTCTACACCCCAGTGATCCATCTGGCCCAGTTCCTCACATCAGTTGTGCTAATTGGAATAGGCTACCCAGTCTGCAATCTTATGTCCTATACATTATATTCAAAAATTTTAGGACCAAAACCTCAGGTAAGCCAGGTACCCTAAAGTTGCAATTATAGAAAATATACTTGTAGGGCCGGGCGCGGTGGCTCAAGCCTGTAATCCCAGCACTTTGGGAGGCTGAGGCGGGTGGATCACGAAGTCAAGAGATCGAGACCATCCTGGTCAACATGGTGAAACCCTGTCTCTACTAAAAATACAAAATATCAGCTGGGCATGGCGGCACGTGCCTGTAATCTCAGCTACTCAGGAGGCTGAGGCAGGAGAATTGCCTGAACCCAGGAGGCAGAGGTTGCGGTGAGCGGAGATCGCGCCATTGCACTCCAGCCTGGGTAACAAGAGCGAAACTCCGTCCCAAAAAAAAAAAGAAAATATACTTGTAAACACTCACATTTTTTGCTGCCATTCTTTATTTTTACATAGACTGATTTGGAGGATTTTTATCATATTCAGCATTTTAAATTTTTTTTTTTTTTTTTTTTTTTGAGATGGTGTCTCGCTCTGTCACCCAGGCTGGAGTGTAGTGGCGCGATCTTGGCTTATTGCAACCTCTGCCTCCCGGATTCTTGCAATTCTCCTGCTTCCACCTCCCGAGTAGCTGGGACTACAGGTGCACGCTGCCACACCCGGCTAATTTTCTGTATTTCAGTAGAGACGGGGTTTTACCATGTTGCCCAGGCTGGTCTCAAACTCCTGAGCTCAGGCAGTCCACCTGCCTTGGCCTCTCAAAGTGTTGGAATTATAGGCGTGAGCCACTGCGCCTGACCAGCATTTAAAATTTTAAAAAATCCCATAACTTCTATAAGGTGTTTGTAAGATTTATATGCTGAAATTTACAAACAGTACCCTAAGTTACAACTCAAAGATGTTTTGAACTCAGAGATTAGGGAGCTCAAAATCATTTTCATGGGGAAAAAAATCTGAGGTGTAAATTTCTTTTTCTTTTTCCTTTTTTTTTTCAAGGTGTAAATTTCCGAAACTCATTCTTAAACTAGGCAAGAGTTAGGCAACCAAAATTGATAACCGGTTTTGGACCTAGGCTTAATTTCATCTAGCCCCAGGCAATTACTAAGAGATAAAAACACAATAGTCTTAAAAGTTTACAGCAGCTTATGCATATTTTATAATTTTAAAATAAGATTTTCCATATTTTTATAAACAATTAGAAAAAATATAGAAGGAAAATGAAAAATTATCAATGAGAAAATTACTACTAACATTTTGGCAAAATTACATTTCCACTTTCAGTCTTTTATTTATGCTTATGTGAATGTGTATGTGTATGTAACACAAAAATAGGACTTTAAAAATAGTATCGGCCGGGCACAGTGGCTCACGCCTATAATCCCAGCACTTTGGGAGGCCGAGGCGGGTGGATCACGAGGTCAAGAGATCTAGACCATCCTGGTCAACAATGGTGAAATCCTGTCTCTACTAAAAATACAAAAATTGTTCGGCATGGTGGTGCGTGCCTGTAATCCCAGCTACTTGGGAGTCTGAGGAAAGAGAATCGCTTGAACCCAGGAGGCAGAGGCTGCGGTGAGCCGAGATTGTGCCATTGAACTCCAGCCTGGGTAACAAGAGTGAAACTCCGTCTCAAA